TCAATGAGCTCCTTTTGATGCTGTTTCTCCATCTGTTTCTCTTTCTCCTTCAACTCAGCTAAATGCTTATTGACAGCTTCTGATCTCTCTTTTTCTTTCTTTTTGAATTCTTGTTGTAATTGCATCATTTGCTGTTGATGCTCCTCATTCTTCATTTTCAATTCTTGAGTAAGCAGTGTGATCTGTTGCTTGGATTCCTCGAGTAGCTCCTTTAATTCAGTAGACATTTGGTCCTTTATATCAGTTAGTTGCCTTTGATGTTGTTTTTCCATTTTCTCCTTGAACTCAGCTAATTGCTTATTTGAAGCTTCCAATATTTCTTTTTGTTCTTTCTTAGATTCCTGCTGCAACTGCATCATTTGCTGTTGATGCTCTTCATTCTTCATCTTTAATTCCTGAGTAAGAAGTGCAATCTGTTGCTTCGATTCTTCCAGTAGCTGCTTCTTCTCTGCTTCAAACTGGCTCTTCATTTTCTCTTTCGTATCCTCAAGTTGAGTGGTTAACTCATTAACACGGGCTGATTCTGATTTATACAGCTCTTGAAAATGACTCAACATGGCTTGTAATTCTTCTTTAAACTGATCAGTTATTCTCATTGTTCTCTTAACCTGCTTCTCAGGTGGAAGATTAGAACAGGTGGATTCATGATCAATTGTATCTTTACGAAGATATGCCACGGGGCAACCAAAAGGACACTTTACTTCAACAAACCCACAGCTGCCATTCACTGGATTGGTGTGTTTCTTTAGATCTCTTAACTCTCCCACCCACTCACATCCATTGTTGTGGTGTGTACAACGAACTTTCAAGTCAAGTATCTCACTGTTGAGTTGTTTCTCTAAGAAACTATTGAAATTAGGCTCACGACAAGTGGGACAAGGTTGACTTGAATGATGTACACGTTGTATACAGTCACGACACATCTTGTTACAACAGCATGTGACAATATGAGGCTCTTTCATCACACAATGACATATTAGACAATTGAATCTATCAGGAGGTTGTTCAATGAATATTGGTTCTTCCTTTTCTTCTTCTTTCTCATCTTGGGAGCTTATTGAATGAAATTCAAACTGCACTACTGAACACTCCTCCCCTCCTTTACCAGCCATTAACAGGAAGCATCTCACGTGAACTGAATCAAACAATAACTATTACTTAATGATTACACTTTAGAGTTTATAGAAAGACCTCA